GGGGGGGGGGGGGGAGTCTGCATAAAGGATGTGACATGCCATCAAGAATGTCTGCTTTTCCGGTAGAGATTGGTTGCATTCTGCGACCTTTCTGTCAGCAATAGTAGAATATGTCATGGATGCAACCAATTTATAGATCCTTCTGAAACCTCATCTTTCTTTGAAATTTATCCATGCTTTAGAACTGTGTCGTGACATTTGGCTTTGAAAGATAAGCAGAAACCTCCAGTGTTGGTGGGAGGTAGTAGGTACCGTGGAATAAGTTGAGGTGCATGTAAGCTGACCCGGACACCACTGTTATAAATAAAAAATACACCATAATTTCAGATGAAGATGTCGTATCAGTGATTCAGAGAAGTACCATTTTGATAAGTAAGATCCATAGGAACAGTCCCTCAAGCAGCTCCGCTACATTGGGAAATTTCAAAACTACCTAATCTAGGCTTCTCCTAGCAAGGTTTTTCTTCCCCTGGCTGACATTTTAGTCTGTCTTAAAATGTGCTTTGTCCCTATGGCATATTTCGATCGAGTAGATTTCGGGCATTGTTAGCATTCAGAGTCTAACAGAGATGAAGACCTCGAGCTGAGTCGCTGGTCGATTTCGCACAGAGAAAAAGGTAAGGAAGAAAGAGAACAAAGTACCTGGATTTTCGTTCCTAGTCTTGTAACTTTCTGCCTTTTCCTTCATTTTCCTACATCTTCTGCTTCAGTTTGTCTTCCTCGTCTTCTCAATGTGTCTCCGTCCTTTTGTCTTCTTCGCTTTGTTCAAAGCATTTGCCGGACTTTAACTGGATCCAGTAAGAATCTCTTATTGCTATCAGCTTCATGTCTCATGGAGTCATGGTAGGGGTAAATGATGGATCTGTTTTTGGTAAGTAAGTGAAGCAGCCACTAATACTTGCATTAGGCTAGGTTGATTACATCACACCCCTAGGTGTGCGGCCCTTCCCCAGACCCTGCGTGAATGCGGGATGCTTTGTGCACCGGGCTGCCCTTTTTTTTCCAGAACTTCAAATTAAATAAAAACAATTGATGACGGTTCTTCTTGGCGGAGTCTGTTTTACTTGAAGGAATGTGGATGTTTTTATCTCAGCAAAATTTCATTGTGCAGGTATCATATTCTCTGAGGGGTTATAAGATATAATTTGATAACTAGGCTGTCCCTTTTTTTTTTTGCTTTCCAGCTTAATTTTCTAAGATTAGTGCTTGAAATTCTTTAATAGGCTAGTAATTAATGGTATTTATTACTGCTTGTTTTACAGATCCATTTTCGATGGCACCTCAAAAAGCACTTGAAACAATTGGGAGAACTTTGAACCAACAATACGAGAGGTGGCAACCTCGGGTAAGAAAATGTTTTTGCTACTAATTTGATGGTGAATGAGTAGTTATAATGACAAAACATTTATGTAACCATATGCAGGCTAAGTATAAGATTTCCTTGGATCCTACTGTTGATGAAGTCAAGAAACTTTGCACAACTTGTCGAAAGTATGCCAAGTCAGAACGAGTTCTTTTCCATTATAATGGACATGGTGTACCTAAACCTACAGCCAATGGTGAAATTTGGCTATTTAATAAGGTTTACTTTCTTACCCAGATTGCTTTCTCAGGGCTGTGGGTGATATTTGTCTTTTCTTATTTGGGTGTTTGTTTTAGAGTTATACGCAGTATATCCCTTTGCCAATCAGCGACTTGGATTCCTGGTTGAAGACACCATCGATCTATGTGTTTGACTGCTCTGCTGCTGGGATGATTGTTAATGCCTTCATAGAGGTTTACTCTTAATTGCTAGTTTACGTCATGTATTTTGTGTCTTCATAGAAAAAGAAAAATTGTACTTCGTGACGTGGTACTGATCTATCCATTCCTACTGGCCCTCTAATTAGTTTCAATGCAATTTGTTTGATCAGCTTCAGGACTGGACTGCTTCTGGTTCTTCTGGAACTTCTGCAAGGGATTGTATTCTGCTTGCTGCTTGTGAAGCACATGAGACGCTTCCTCAGAGTGCTGAGTTTCCAGCCGATGTATTTACTTCCTGCCTCACCACACCCATCAAAATGGCATTGAGATGGTGACATGCTCTCAACAATTGTTTATGCTTTCTTCTTTTTCCTCTTTCTGCCCCTCTTTCTTCACTTGTCCAATTCTTCAGTGGATCAAGCACAGTTGTAATTCTTGGGTGATGGAAAATTAGTATAGTTTCACTTTTCATTTTCACTTTGTGATGTTACATAGTTCCTCTCTTTCCCTCTCCCTCTCCCTTTCACTTTTTTTCTCCTCTTTTGGAAAAAAAATTATAGGTTCGCCTACATGTTCACAGTTAATGATAGCCTCTGTAGCAACAAAAAAAGAAAAAAATAACAAGAAAATAACGGTTATCTCTCGGGCCAATCTGTTTAATAGGAAATAGATAATGACATCTTAGTGAATTTTCATAATGTTAGTGTTCTAAGTAAATGCTTAACTATCTTTTACTTGCTCGTATGTGTTGTTACGTCCTTAAACCTAATGTGCTACTTCTCTCTTTTTACATTGATGCATTTGCTTCTGCTAAATAAGTGGCATTTGTTAAAGTGTGATAGCTACATTTTTTTTCTTGCAAAAATTACTAGCCATTTAAATCTCACTATCTTGTGTGTTTGGCTTCTAGGTTTTGCACCCGTTCATTGCTCCGAGAGTCGCTTGATTACTCTCTGATTGATAGAATTCCTGGCCGGCAAACTGATCGGAAGACACTTCTAGGCGAACTGAATTGGATTTTTACTGCAGTTACTGACACAATTGCCTGGAATGTTCTGCCACATGGTAATGGAATAGATTATTTAGATTGATGCAGATATCATGATTTAAGCGTGTTAATTTCTTTCTGAAGTATGAGTTCCAAACATGCAGAGCTGTTTCAGAGATTGTTTAGGCAAGATCTATTAGTTGCTAGTTTGTTCAGAAACTTTTTGCTTGCTGAAAGAATCATGCGCTCGGCAAATTGTTCACCGGTTTCATACCCAATGCTACCACCTACTCATCAGCACCATATGTGGTAACTACATTAAATAGTTACTCATTACTAAAATTCATATTTACCCTTCTCTCACTTGTGGTCTACATGTATGATAGGGATGCATGGGACATGGCAGCAGAAATCTGTCTTTCACAGCTTCCAATTTTAGTTGAGGATCCCAATGCAGAATTTCAGGTGGGCATATTGCTTTACCATCTGTTGATATGTATGCTCATAGTTCCAACTTCCACAAGAATATTATATATAGGACTTACATATTGCCTGTGTTTGTATGTCTTCAGCCAAGTCCATTTTTCACGGAGCAGTTGACAGCTTTTGAAGTATGGCTTGACCATGGATCAAAGGATAAAAAGCCTCCAGAGCAGTTGCCCATAGTGCTACAGGTAGGAAATTTCTCATGGTCCAAATCAAATGAGGAGCTCTCCTTGGTTCTTCTTGCCATCTTGTGGTGACTTTAAGTAAATTTTCTGGGATGTAGGTTCCATCCGCCCCGCATCTCCTGTCAACTCCTATGTCTTTAATAATTTGATGAAAAGGTGGGATAAAAATATTAGATACTCCATGCTGTTGTCAAATTCATAAACCATTTGGATCAATAGCTTTTGTTCCATATTTATCAACAAATTCAAAAAATTGTTTTTCTTTTTTATTGACTTGATAAAAGCGCTGGCTGCTGTCTCTTCTGTCTTTGATAGAAAATATCAAAGAATGCTTTGGCATGTTGCTGTGGAATGCTTGAAGCATCTCCCTGTGTTAGGTTGAGATGTGGGAATGATTTAACTTTTTCCTGGTGGCATTGACTCATTTCTAAGGCCGCCTAATGCTGGTTTAATATTCTTGGCACAACATGTGTTTTCCAGTTCTTTCGTAGGCTTCTTTTTATGTGAATATTGAACTTTCTTCCCATGTCTCCTGAAAAGAGGAAGTGATCTATCCATGTCCAGTAGATTAGTGCACTTTTTTTTTTTTTTAAATGATTGTGGTCAATCTTACTTTGTATCTACTTAGAAATCAATCCGATGCGAGTTACTAAAGTTTTGGGTTAGCAGCAATGCTTTTTGTAGTGTCATTGTTGAGGTTAAAGAAATGCATCATGTCTGTCGGAGCAGATATTGCTGTTGGTATTATTTGCTGGTTGAGCAGAGTTTTTGCATTTGAATTATGAAATAGGTGTTGATTTACTTAATGTTTGTCCTTGTGACACTAAGTGGGCGTTTGGACATAAGAATTGTAAAATTCCAAGAAATGGTGAAAGTTTTCAAGTGAAAATGGTATTTGAAATTTAGAGTTGTGTTTGGACATGAATATAATTTTGGGCTGTTTTTGAAGTTTTGTGAGTGATTTGAGTGAATTTTGAAAAACAGCTTTTTGGAGTTCTTCAAATTTTTGAAAATTTCTAAAATGCATCTTCAAGTGAAAATTGAAAATTTTATGAACAAACACTGATTTCGGAAAAAAGTAATTTTTTTTTTGGAAAAAAGAGAAAATTTTCTTATGTCCAAACGGGCTCTAAAGATATGTACAGAGACATGATAACTATAGTTCCTCAAATATGAGCTGCTAGTGGTCTTTGCTATTTTGGCTGGTCATATTAGGCTTTCTTTACATTCAGTGGTTTCGCTAGCTTTGTGCATTTTCCCCCTTGCATGCCTCTGTAACCAATCTTCTTTGTTATTAGGTGTTACTTAGTCAATGCCACAGGTTCCGTGCACTTGTACTTCTTGGAAGATTTCTCGATATGGGACCTTGGGCTGTAGATCTGGTAAGGTGGCTGCACGTTTCCTCTTTCTGTAATTGGTTGTGGCATCTACTTTGTGACTAATATTTAAGTCAACAATTTGCTTCCTTCCAGGCCTTGTCTGTAGGAATATTTCCTTATGTTCTTAAGCTTTTGCAAACCACCACTCCTGAACTTAGACAAATTCTCGTCTTCATCTGGACGAAGATCCTTGCACTAGATAAGGTACATGATTTGGTTGTAATTCATCACTTGTGCTGTCTAATATTTCATTTCCTATGTTTATTTTTTCTTATACGAAGTTCTCCTTTTCTCTCTTTTTTGTTGTTATTATTATCTAAGAAGCACACACACCAAAATTTGGCTTTACAATCAAACACCTGCTGACAGTGGACTCCATCCATGTCTTATTGTTTTTCTATTTTTTTTTTAATTTTATGTTGTGACACTTTGCCATGTTTTTGGAGATCAATAGGACACGAGTTTGTAACTTTTTGTGTTATTTAAACTGTTAAAGTGCTTTTCTTTGGTGTACAAAGCAGACTTTTGAAAGAACGGAGTGATACTTTCTGTGATGAAAATAGACCTAAAATCTCCAGCCTCTTTCATTGAACTAAGCTCTAATTGG